AAATTACAATTAAAGGAGAAGAACACTTAAATTTGACTTACTAATACAGAATGGAGCAAAAAACAATGGACATGTTGAAGGATATTTGTGAACAATGGACCGAGAAGTTAATTTTAAAAGTGTCTGACATTATAGATAGACTGAGTATAAAAGATGTTATGGAAGAGGAACAAGTTTTACTGGACAAGACTGAGACTGATCTGAAGGTGGATTTAAAAATGACAGGCTACATGAATGATAAGGGAAAGAAGTTACACTGAATATACAAATGAAACTTGTTGTCTTAATAGTTAATAGGGATATACAAATATCCCTATTATACAAATAACAAACCAAAAGAATGGCCTGGATAGTTTTCCTATATTGGATTTACAAAAGAGACTTGTTACAGTTTTGAAGGATTTTGTGACAAGGGACAAAGAAAAAATGAAATTTTTTCTAGCAGAGTTTTCTAGAAATTCTGTTCTAGCACAGAATTTGAAGGGATTAAAGATCAAGATTGTTAAAAGAGAAACGAATACAAAGTTGGTTTATTTGATCAAGATTAAAATAAATATGTTGTTATCTCTAGTAACCCTTAATGGATTTTTGCTGATTAGGACTGCACGATGAGGCTTCAAAGATTTGTTTATAGATAAGAGATAAGATATGGGAAGAGATCATTTGTTGTATATTAAGAAATGGTGATAAGTTACTAAAATTGTTTATACTTATGATGAAGGGGGAAGTCATTTATATATTTATTTTCTTTTTCTTTACTATATTCTTATTCTTTTCTATTTTTCTCTTTTCTGCATTTTCTATTTTTTTCTTTTCATTCTTTTATGTTTTTAGTTCATATTAGTTATCTTTTTAATTGTCATGTTTAATAAAATTATACAAAATTATACAAAAATAGACTGATTTCATTTCATTTTTTGTCTCTTCTTCAAAGCTTTAACAAGTCTCTTTTGTAAATCCAATATAGGATTATCCAGGTCGCTCTCTTGGTTTGTAATTTGTATATCCCTTTTAATTATTAAGACATCAGCTGGTTTCTTTTGTATGTCCAGTGTAACATCTTTTCCCATATCATTCCTTTAGCCTGTCATTTTTAAATCCACTTTCAAATCAGTCACAA